TTCCCCTTTCACTGCTTCTCTCCCCCTGCATGAGTCGATGTTCACATCCAGAATGTAACCCGAAACCTTTTCAGTGGCCAGTCGTGCATCACATATCCGTGAGTGAACTCGCTTCATCTGATGCTAACTTTTTTGTTCTTTTTTGAAATCTCAATTTAAAAAAAAAAAAAATGCTGGTTACATGTTGTTTTCGGCTGTGTTAGACTTGAAGTCAATTTCGGTGTGCGCCAACTCAGTGCGTGCAGTCAACATTAATGGCGTGTTGTCAACACTCAAGGCGGGTCGGTCAACATACGTGCTTGCATTGTTTCAACTCCTTGTTATCGTTTCTGAAAAACTTCCCGTGCACAAACCCTGAATCCCATCCAGACGTCAAAGCATGTCTGACCGGCCTTTCTACAACACTTCAACACGTATCAATATAACAACAGAGCAAATCACGGAATGGGCTGACAAGTGGCGACGGCAGCTCACAACATGACCAGCTCACGGCGTTGTGAACCTACTTAATCTTTTTTGGCTGGTGGTCACTTGTCCTGGTGGGTGGGGGGAGACGTCTGCCCTAACACAAAGAAATGGTCACCTACCTGGCGACACCCCAACAAGCGACCACCGTCGGGAGGGGCCGAAAATAGGCCGCTGGTCTTATCCCATATGGTGCCCTTTACCCGAAGATTATAATTGGCTACACGTTGTACGGAGATTGCTTTCAGGCTGTGCCGGAACTAAGTCATATTTCATCTGACACACGAAGTCTTTGCTTAATGAATATTTCATCTCACTCATGTAGTCTATACTAAATGAATATTTCATCTCACACACGTAATCTATACTAAATGAATATTTCATCTCCCACACATAGTCTATACAAAACAAAGATTTCATCTCACACACGTAATCTATACTAAATGAATATTTCATCTCCCACACATAGTCTATACAAAACAAAGATTTGATCTGACACACGTAGTCTATGCTTAATGAATATTTCATCTCACTCATGTAGTCTATATTAAACGAATAGTTCATCTTACACACGTAGTCTATACTAAAAAACGAATATTTCATCCCAGTTCCGGGAAAAAAGATACATTAAATTTAAAGCTCATAGGGCAACCAATGTTTGGTGTGGCTCAACAAATAAATCAACTAACTTCTCAATAATTTCATTTTACATGGTAAGCAGCCTTTACATCTTTGTCAAACACGACAGTCTCATTTTGTCCCCCTCCCCCAAAAAAATTATTCTTAACCAGAACGCAGTCTATTATGCGCTACCCCCCACCCCATCCCCAACATCCTCGGAAAAACCCCAAGATGTGACTTTTCTCCCACAGCAAGAAGCCATTTAGATAGTTCCCCTTGAAGTGCTCAACCGACCTCAGTGTTGGTCGGGGGGGGGGTCGGGGGGAGAGAAATCGATAAGACATCGCCTGGCCTAATACGTCATGGACGTTTCACAAATTGGCGTCATTGAGTTAGTGGTGTAAGTGGGGTGTGAGGGGGTCAGGATGGTGTGAGGAACTATGGGGTCAGGCTCAAACTGTGTGGTCAGCTTGTTTTGTGGAACTATTAGGGCAGGCTCTAACTGTGGGATCAGTGTCCAAGAATGGAGTCATGGTGGTTTGTGGTACTATGGGGTCTGGATCCGACTATGGGGTCAGGGTGGTTAGTGGTACTATGGGGTCTGCATCCGACTATGGGGTCAGCTTGTTTTGTGGAACTATTAGGGCAGGCTCCAACCATGGGATCAGGGTTCAAGAATGGGGCCATGGTGGTTTGTGGCACTATGGGTCAGGGTCCAACTATGGGGTCAGGGTGGGTTGATATGATTAGTTACAGTATACTCTAACTCATCATTCCATGTCTAGTTCATTGAAAGCGCATTTCGTTTCTCTCTCAGAGCTCTACTTGAATTAACTCCCACTGGTGTTTTGTAGTAGGACATTAAACGATTAAAGATTACATTCTGGTGCTCAATAAAGCAACATTAACATTCCAGTCTGGTGTTCTATTATATTACATTAACATTCCAGTCTGGTATCCGTGGAGAGCGCTCACACTCCATGTATCCTTTGCTAATAAAATACTTATCAGTTGACCTACTTTCTAACAAGGGAGAAAAAAAATAAATGTAGCAGTCTACCTGCGGTTTCTATGACATCAAAGTATAGGTACTGTTCCGTGTGATACCAGAACACCATACTTCTTATCCCCCCCCCCNTGGCCACAGATATGTTCTGTATTTTGTGATAACACGGTCGGCTGGTTAATTAAAGAAATAATGGAATTGATAACGTCCGATCGGTTTTTTTGCTTTGGTTTTTTGTTTTTTTTTTTTTTTTGGTTTGGTTTACCCCGACGCCCCGAGCCTTTCCCGTTTGTATTCTGGCAACGACACTTTGCACTTTGAAAACACCACTGAAAGGTTTGTCTGCCTAACAACACGTAGTTTAGTGGTTTGTCTACTGAAAGGTTTGTCTGCCTAACAACACGTAGTTTAGTGGTTTTTCTACTGAAAGGTTTGTCTGCCTAACAACAACACGTAGTTTAGTGGTTTGTCTTCTGAAAGGTTTGTCTGCCTCACAACACGTACTTTAGGGGTTTGTCTTCTGAAAGGTTTGTCTGCCTCACAACACGTAGTTTAGGGGTTTGTCTACTGAAAGGTTTGTCTGCCTCACAACACGTAGTTTAGGGGTTTGTCTACTGAAAGGTTTGTCTGTGCCTCACAACACGTAGTTTAGTGGTTTGTCTACACTTTAGAAGTCTTGGAGCTTCTCCTTTAGAGGTAACGCACTGCCTCCTGACTGGAAAATCCTGTCGCAGCCACACTGAAACTGAAAGGCACTTTGCATTGTAGGAAACCAGGTTTTAAATATATGAACGATTGGACTCACCTCTCGTTCCAGGTATAATATACAAACTGTTGCACTCGGGACTTCATTGAAAACATCATAAACTGATGACATTATCATTGATAACAGAGCAGCGCTGAAATATTGGCCCTCTTCTGAGAATTATTGCTAACTAACAGAACAGCACTGAAATATTGGCCCTCTTCTGAGAATTATTGCTACCAGAACAGCACTGAAATGTGTGCCCTCTTCTGAGAATTATTGCTAACTAACAGAACAGCACTTAATTATTGGCCCTCTTCTGAGAATTATTGCTACCAGAACAGCACTGAAATGTTGGCCCTCTTCTGAGAATTATTGCTACCAGAACAGCACTGAAATGTTGGCCCTCTTCTGAGAATTATTGCTACCAGAACAGCACTGAAATGTTGGCCCTCTTCTGAGAATTATTGCTACCAGAACAGCACTGAAATGTTGGCCCTCTTCTGAGAATTATTGCTACCAGAACAGCACTGAAATGTTGGCCCTCTTCTGAGAATTATTGCTACCAGAACAGCACTGAAATGTTGGCCCTCTTCTGAGAATTATTGCTACCAGAACATCACTGAAATGTGTGCCCTCTTCTGAGAATTATTGCTAACTAACAGAACAGCACTTAATTATTGGCCCTCTTCTGAGAATTATTGCTAACTAACAGAACAGCACTTAATTATTGGCCCTCTTCTGAGAATTATTGCTACCAGAACAGCACTGAAATGTTGGCCCTCTTCTGAGAATTATTGCTACCAGAACAGCACTGAAATGTTGGCCCTCTTCTGAGAATTATTGCTACCAGAACAGCACTGAAATGTTGGCCCTCTTCTGAGAATCATTGCTAACCCAGTGCGTACTTGAATAAATTCCATTCGAATGCCGTGCCTTCGCCTCTTCGACATCTTTAATGAAAGGAAGTAAGCATACGCATAATTGAAGTCAATGTCTAAGGCCCCTTTGATTGTGGCTCAGGGAACACCTCAGATACATTTCATTTCATTTTAGGGACTTGGGGTTAATCATTGCTTTCGCGTCTTCACGGAAATCTTTGTCACGTCCGGCGTGATCGTCTGGTTAGTTCACCAATTCTTTGCCGCACCATCTAACTTAACATCAGTTAATAATCATCTCGCCACCCCATCTTTACCATCAGTTTGCAATCATCTCGCCACGCCATCTTTACTACCATCAGTTTAGAATCATCTCGCCGCACCATCTTTACCATCAGTTTACAACCATCTGGCCGCACCATCTTCACCATCAGTTTACAATCATCTGGCTGGTATTTTTCTACGGTTCGCCATCACACACACATTCCTGCCAATATTCAGAAGTGTCATCATCCTATTGACATGGGTGTAACCATGGTCACGTGGTGGGCGAGAGTTCCCTGGGAACTCCCGTATGGGGCGAGCGATGTATTCGCTGAGAGGTTATAGATTTTATCGATTACCGCTCTTTGACAGCGCGGTAATCGATTACGATTGGTGGTGCTTTAAATGCCTCGCCGTGGGTGGTGGATAAATGGATAATAATGCACCTTTTATGGGGGGGCCAGGGAAAGAATTCATCAAAATAAGCGGCCACGTCGGGACAAATAAATGTCCTTGCATCGTTGTTCAGTTTCCACAGCAGCAACCGGTGTGTGCCGGCAAACTTAGACCAGGTCCCAAACATCATCACATAGACGTAATCAAAGCAGCAGGCTGACCTTATTGCACACACACACACACACACACACACACACACACACACACACACATACATACATACATACACACACAAAGCAATAGACTACTGATTTATAGAGAACTGTTCAAGTCTCAATTATGGGACCGACACTGGATGTCATGTTGTATATTATGTAGTATATGTGGTATAACCACCTGATGGACTGGGTATTACTGTAATGTACCTGTGGTATTGCTGTAATGTTGTTTATTGTGGTACAGCCACCTGATGGACTGGGTATTGCTGTAATATTGTATATTGTGGTACAGCCACATTATGGACTGCGTATTACTGTAATGTTGTTATATGTGGCACAGCCACATGATGGACTGGGTATTACTGTAATGTACGTGTGGTATTGCTGTAATGTTGTATGTGATGTTTACCTTCTCCCTCCCACAGGGTGATTTCTCCCTCATCATAGAAGCGTGGCACGACACAAGCTCGGATACCCCTAAACCAGGTACGGCATTACTTACCTAACTATTCTACACACCCTTATAATACCAATCTAGTCTTAAAATTCCGTCTTGGCGAGACTGTTCTGTTACCACGATGACAAAGTTACAAGCTCACATCGACACCACAGCCCCCAAACCGTATCAAAAACCTCCACCCCCATCTCTCACCCCTGACACTATCTCACCCCTGACACCATCTCACCCCCCCCCCCATCCCCCCCCCCACCCCATCCCACCCACCCACCCCCTCCCCCACCCACCCCCCCCCCCCCCCCCCCCACCCCCCCCCCCCCCCCCCCCCCCCCCCCCCCCCGCCCCCATCTCACGCACCCACTCCCATCACAACACTGACCCCATCTCACCCACCCACCCCCATCACAACACCGAGCCCATCTCACCCACCCACCCCCATCGCAACCCCGACCCCATCTCACGCACCCACTCCCATCACAACCCCGCCCCCATCTCCCCCACCCACCCCCATCACAACACCGACCCATCTCACCCACCCACCCCCATCATAACCCCGAGCCCATCTCACCCACCCACCCCCATCACAACCCCGACTCCATCTCACCCACCCATCCCCATCACAACCCCTCCCTCATCACTACCCCACCCCCACCACCCCGCCATCACAAACTCATCCCACCATCACCACCCTGCCATCACTTGACCCATGTTTCCCCCAAGCCGCGTGCCCATAGTTCCGCCAAGTAAAGGGGGAGTGTAATGCCATAAAAGAAATGTACCAATGAATGTCTCACTTCTTTCCTCTGCAGGTCAGCACATCTATTAATAGCTTTCCTTTGGAGTAGAAACGCTGGTAATCTCGTTCACTTGTTGCATAATTTTAGTTTTGAGAAGAAAAAAAAACCACTTTTCTTTTTTGGAGCTCCTTTGTGAATGGCGACTTTTACCCAAAAAAAATCCTGTTTTGTATTTGTTAACACGTGATTTGAATTTGTTGTTCAACTAACTGAGCCTGATCCCCATCTTCATCCTTAGTCAGTTCACAAACAATCACGGGACGTAGAATCCGATGAAAGCATTTAAAACTACCGGTAATGACAAATCGAATCACTTGGACTAGGAGCAGTGATTGAATGCTGGTGCCATGCCTAGAGTTGGCCGACACTGGAAGCAGTCGTTTCTTTGTTTGTGTGCCTCGTCCACACGCTAAGATTGCACTTGCTTCATTCGATGTGTGACTTTACGGTAGACGGAGGCACAAGACAGCGTGACACGGACGCTTTTAATGGCAACCCAAAGCTAATGTGACAGAAACTGTCATGACAGCACAGGATAGTGCACCGGCGTAGGCCGTAGGAGGGTGTGGCGGAGGGAAGGGGGGGGGCTGTCCGCCCCGGGCCGGGAAAAGCGCCTATTGTTATATTTGAGGGGTGGCTCTTTCGGCCTGTTGAATAATAAGAAAACTGTGACAACACAGGACATTGTGACAGAAACTGTCACGGCCACACAGGACATTGGGACAGAAACTGCCATAACGGCAACATAGGACAGTTTGACCCACTAAATTCCACCGATGCTGTGCCCTCGGCTGACGCCCATTCTGCCCCACCCTGGCCGCCCAACAACGCGCCGTATGGTCCTATCGATTGTTGTACATTTTGAATTCGATGGAATGTTTACTTTGCTGGGCCACTACGCTGTGGGGTAGTAATACATGGATAGGAGTAATTGTGGAACAGTGAACAGGAATTGGTAGCATGGAGTACAAGGTCATGGTCAGCGGCGGTTCCTGTTAATTTGTTAATAAGGTCACTCCAATCAAGCCGAGTTGTTTCTAGTCGCCAAACCGCGCCCTTCCCACCCCACCCCACCCTGTCCCTGCCGCCCCGCTCCACTCCCCCCCCCTTCCCCCAACCGAGTGTTTATGTGACCAAAAAAAAGTTTATCGTCGCTTTATCAATTGCACTTGGAGGAGTTGGCTAAAGCTTTAGAGACATTGGTTTCGATTGGCTGGGACGGTTGCATTCACCTGTATGGTTGTATTTGATTGGTTGTTGTGCCGAGCGTGCGCCTGACGGGCTACCATCTGTCACTAAGCCCACATGGCAGTTCCCAGTAGAGTTGTTCAACTCTCAGTCCCCAGGTACCGCTGGATGTGGACTTTCCATGACCCATAGCACGTCCCAGGTAGGAGGCACTCAACTATTGACGACACACGGGTGACATGAGAAGGATGGGGTCTCTATGGGCGATAGACTTAACCACAGAACGGAACAGATAGATTTAACCATAGAACGTCACTGACAGATTTAACCAAAACACCGACAGACTTAAACACAGGACAGCACTTACAGTTTTAACTACTGAATAAGCACATATAGATATAGACTTAAATGAAGAACATCCCAGATAGACTTACCCTCACAACAGCTAAGATAGACTTAACCAACCCCCGAAAAGCACAGTTCTCTCATACTAAAGCTCATCACATCTCATAAATTGTTGAGATAATAGAATGTGTGTAGCTTGCACGTAATGCACGTAAATACACCCCATATCCAACCACACCCCATATCCAACCACGCCCCATATCCAACCACGCCCCATACACAACCACACCCCATATCCAACCACGCCCCATATCCAACCACGCCCCATACACAACCACACCCCATACACAACCACACCCCATATCGAACCACACATTCAAGGACGACCCCCACACATACAACCAAGAGACCGTACACATTCAGCCACGAGCCCCCACACATACAACCAACCGGGAGTCCCCACACATATAACCACGATTCCCCTCCCACCCCCACGCACACGGAGTCTCACACACAAACCAAGCTCTACTCCTAGTGAAGAAATAAACCAAGATATATCAAATCCGGCCTTGACCCTGATTTTAATCCAGGTGAAAACAGATGGCCAAGGACCCACCTCACCCCTTTTTAATAGTCTTTTTACGCTCAAGGTCAGAGCGAGGTCAATCAAGTCCCAGCAGATGTATTCCTGAATTATTCTTTCTTTCCCCCTCCTCCCCCCCCCCTTTTTTTCCCCCCACCCAAGAGTCCCCCAAGACACCTGTTCCTTTACTTTTTCGTTCCCAGCTGATAGTCCCCAGGTCTCTCTCGTGTACCCTAATTCATCTCTTGTGCCCATTGTTACTGACTGTCCACCCCTTTTGTCTCCTGACTCCACCCCTCTCCCCCCCCCCACTCCCTCCCTGTCCACGGTCTGTGGAGGCTCGCCATCCCTCAAGTGTTTCCGTTAGCTTCTTCCCACGGTCTGTCAGGATTTGATATCTCCCATGATTATTGTCCGCTCGGCTGGTCACAACTCATCATGGCTCCACGCTAATGTTGGTGAACTTTTGAGCAGCGGTGGCCAGTGAACATTTAAAGCTGCCACAGCAAGTTTGACGAACAGGAAAAACAGACTCTGTTCGTGTGTGTGGTGGGGGTGGGGGTTGGGGGGCACTATGAACGCTTTGATTCCAGTAATTAACTGGCAGCAACTAAATTAAAATATTAATTAAACTCATTAAACTATTCTCACAACCAAACTATACTTACAACCTAGCTGCAATATAATATTTTTGTTTGTAAAAAATGCTAATTTACTGGGTACCCCTTTGGAAGATTTTTGTTGGTCGGTTGGGGGGGGGGGGGGTGTCCCATTTTCAACAACTTTCGGGTGTAGTTGAGGCCTATCCTAAAATGTAGTGCAGTCTGTGATAACTCAGAACTGAGCAGCGAGCTAGCATCAAAACTGTTGGTGTCCGTGAGAGGGGGTAGAAGTGTCGTGTTGTTCTATCTACTCTCCAACCCGTTCTGTTTGTGTCCTTGTGTTCCATTACATTATCAGCACGTGTGATATGCGGCGGGGTAACAGATATCGAATACGGGGAAATAACCGCTCAATACTTTACAGCCTTGACCTTGCGTGTCAATCTGTCACGTGACTCGTTTAGCGTGACCCTGCAACAACAAAATAATAATAATAATAATGATGCAGCTGCGTGGTGATTTGTTCCATAAAAATATCCACCTACAGATCAGCCCTACTCTCCAAAATAATGCCATTGTACACTCTCTACTTTCACCGCATGGACTTTAAACCCTATTGTTTTTATCCCCCCCAGATTACATGAGCACATTGATAGCTCGCCTGGCCGTCAACAAGGCTGCCTCCTCGGAGGTCAGCTGGTACAACTACACCGAGAACTTCAGCCACACGGAGCTCAAGTACTCGTACAGGTTCACGTGCGAGAAGAACTACTACGGCGCCAACTGTGCGGAGCTGTGCCGGCCCAGGGACGACAAGTTCGGCCACTTCTGGTGCAGTGCCAACGGCACCAAGGTCTGCCTCAACGGCTGGACGGGGGATTACTGCGAAATAGGTCAGTGGGTAGTCAGTGGCTGAAATTTGTCATTTGGTAATCGATGGCTGAAATAGGTCATTTGGTAATCAATGGATGAAATAGGTCATTTGGTAATCAATGGCTGAAATAGGTCATTTGGTAGTCTTCTTCTTCTTCTAGTCGATGGCTGAAATAGGTCAGTTGGTAATCAGCGGTTGAAATATGATCCTACAAGGTTTCCCAAAAATAAGTTTTCTATGAAAAATGTAAAATCAATGTAAATTTCTTTACAATGCAATAACCATCATGTATGATAGACAAATATGCTTATAAAAGTATATATATATATATATATATATATATATATATATATATATATATATATATATATATATATATATAGGTTTGAGTGAATATAACACAGAGTAGAAGTGTGAGAGAGTGTTTCTGTGTGTGTAAAAGACAGAGTTAAAGTGAGATAAAATGAGTGAGGCAGTTCCTCAATGAGTACAACACTGAGTTGAAATGGGTGAGGCAGTTCCTCAGTGAGTACAACACTGAGTTGAAATGGGTGAGGCAGTTCCTCAGTGAGTACAACACTGAGTTAAAATGAGTGAGGCAGTTCCTCAATGAGTACAACACTGAGTTGAAATGGGTGAGGCAGTTCCTCAGTGAGTACAACACTGAGTTGAAATGGGTGAGGCAGTTCCTCAGTGAGTACAACACTGAGTTGAAATAGGTGAGGTGGTTGCTCAGTGTAATAAGCCAAACTTGGATCCATGTTATGCCCCAGTTGTACAGTTGTAGGCACAAATAATTGAGTAAATCCAGCCATCTGTCACCCTCTGTCATCAATGACTAATCACGTAGATTATGAGGGGGGGGGCACGATCTGGAGATGGGTATGCAGACTTGTTGACCCTCAAACTCTTCAAATCGTACACTATCATCACAAAATCGTTTAAAACATTATCTTAATTGTAAAATGATAAACCTACAGTATAAACATGTAGACACCTTAAAATCGTACAATGTACGCCAAAATCGTAAGAGTAAACAGTTCTGGGTATGGGGAACACTTTTATTGGGGATGGGGGCATTGTACTAGCAGATAGGGTTGTTCCTCAGAGAATCCATTTGCTAATGCAGAAATGATAGTTAGGTAATTTTTTTTTTTTAGTTTTTACTTTGAATATGTACTAGATAGTAGTTCTAAGCCTGTTGATTTCTCTAGTGTTTACCTGAGTTTGAATCTTTCCATTCTCCAGCTGTTTGTCTCCCTGGGTGTGACCCTGACAATGGTTTGTGCAATGAACCCAATGAGTGCAAGTGAGTAAATCTTTCATACACTTACACAAGCCATTCATTGACCTGTGGTGCAATATTTTATACATTTACACAAGCCATTCATTGATCCCTGGTGCAATATTTCATATACTTACACAAGCCATTCATTGATCCCTGGTGCAATATTTCATACACTTACACAAGCCATTCATTGATCCGTGGTGCAATATTTCATACACTTACACAAGCCATTCATTGATCCGTGGTGCAATATTTCATACACTTACACAAGCCATTCATTGACCTGTGGTGCAATATTTCATACACTTACACAAGCCATTCATTGATCCGTGGTGCAATATTTCATACACTTACACAAGCCATTCATTGACCTGTGGTGCAATATTTCATACACTTACACAAGCCATTCATTGATCCGTGGTGCAATATTTCATACACTTACACAAGCCATTCATTGACCTGTGGTCGTTATAAAGTATGTGAATGTGTTCGGTAAGTAACTAGGGTGGTGCAATATTTCATACACTTACACAAGCCATTCATTGACCTGTGGTGCAATATTTCATACACTTACACAAGCCATTCATTGATCCCTGGTGCAATATTTCATACACTTACACAAGCCATTCATTGATCCCTGGTGCAATATTTCATACACTTACACAAGCCATTCATTGATCCCTGGTGCAATATTTCATACACTTACACAAGCCATTCATTTATCTGTGGTGCAATATTTCATACACTTACACAAGCCATTCATTGACCTGTGGTGCAATATTTCATACACTTACACAAGCCATTCATTGATCCGTGGTGCAATATTTCATACACTTACACAAGCCATTCATTGACCTGTGGTGCAATATTTCATACACTTACACAAGCCATTCATTGATCCCTGGTGCAATATTTCATACACTTACACAAGCCATTCATTGACCTGTGGTGCAATATTTCATACACTTACACAAGCCATTCATTGACCTGTGGTGGATAATATTTCTTTTCTATTTTTATTATTCTAAATTGTTAAAATCAAATAAAAAATATTTGACTAACTTGAGAAGTAGCTCACTAATATAAATATAATATAAATGGACAGTTGTTAAATATATATAAAGGACAGCTCACTAATATAAGTGTGCAACTGTTGACCTGTATAACTTGAATTATTAAATAATTGTAAACTTAAAACATTGCAGTAATCAAACTGCTACTTGCATATTGATGAGTGAACTGCTTGCGTATTGATGAGTGAACTGCTTGTGTATGGATGAGTGAACTGCTTTTCTTTCTTTGCAGATGTAAGATTGGTTGGCAGGGGCAGTTCTGTAACAAGTGCATACCTTACCCTGGCTGTCAGAGGGGATCGTGTGAGAAGCCCTGGCAGTGCAACTGTAATGAGGGCTGGGGCGGGCTGTTCTGTAATCAAGGTAAGTTGGATTTTTACCCGACAATCTGTTTATTGACATTGGTACAGCAATGTGGCTTCTTTAGACATTGTTATTTACTGGCACTTGGATAACACATGAGTAACAATGAAAAACCTTCTTTTCTTTTTTTTTAATTATATATATAAATTTTTTTTTGCAGACTTGAATTTCTGCACACACAACAAACCTTGCAGGAATGGTGGTTTGTGCACCAACACAGGGCAAGGTAGCTACACGTGTACCTGTGTGGGCAGCTACACAGGGGTCAACTGTGAGCGGGAGCTGGATGACTGCAATGCTAAGCCCTGTTCAAACAATGGCATTTGTAAGGTGAGTCACTAATCTCTGGGCCAAAATTGTAAGGTGAGTCACTAATTTCTGGGCCAAAATTGTAAGGTGATTCACTAATTTCTGGGCCAAAATTGTAAGGTGAGTCACTAATTTCTGGGCCAAAATCGTAAGGTGAGTCACTAATTTCTGGGCCAAAATTGTAAGGTGAGTCACTAATTTCTGGGCCAAAATTGTAAGGTGAGTCACTAATTTCTGGGCCAAAATTGTAAGGTGAGTCACTAATTTCTGGGCCAAAATTGTAAGATGAGTCACTAATTTCTGGGCCAAAATTGTAAGGTGAGTCACTAATTTCTGGGCCTCAGTGACACAGGTGAGTCACTAATCTCCAGGCCAAAATTGTAAGGTGAGTCACTAATCTCTAGGCCACAGTGACACAGGTGAGTCACTAATTTCTGGGCTACAGTGACACAGGTGAGCCACTAATTTCTGGGCTGCAGTGACACAGGTGAGTCACTAATCTCTGGGCCACAGTGACACAGGTGAGCTCAGCTCAGAAGACATCAACATTTGAACAGTCCTCTTGAAGCAGCAAATAAGAACTTTTTAATATCTTGGCAAATGAGACTTTATTTATTATCTTGAAACACCAAATGTGATTTTTTTAAACCAATTTGTGTAGACAAGTAATGATGGTTTTAATATCTATTTCAGGACATTGGTAATGGCTTCCAGTGCCAGTGCCCGCAGGGGTTCTATGGCCGACAGTGCGAGCGGGAGGCAATGTCCTGTAAGGCCACACCCTGCTTGTACGGGGGGACGTGCATGGAAAAAGATGAGACATATTACTGCCTGTGTCAGCCGGGATACACCGGCCGCAACTGCGATATTGATATCAACGAGTGCGAATCTTTACCTTGTCTCAACGGTAAGTTGTCTCACCTCACGGTGCCATCTTGGTTTGATCCTGTGTTGGGTCGTTATAGAGATGCAGAGACGGCGCTGTAATGTAGGTGTTCACTCCAATGCCGGTAACTCAAAGCAAGATTTAGCTGGGTTTCTTTCTCTATCTCTGCTAGCCTTAACGACAAGCTAAGTTCTTTGAACATTGCTTCAATGGCAGCGATCAATCCAAGAAAGGGGTCAAATCTAATTTGGCCTTATTTGTGTCAACTAAGTCTTAAATCAAGTAAATGTGTGTCCTAGAAGGTGGGTCCGTCCCAGAAGATGGGTCTGTCCTAGAGGGTGGGTCTGTCCTAGTAGGTGGGTGTGTCCTAGTAGGTGGGTGTGTCCTAGTAGGTGGGTCTGTCCTAGTCGGTGGGTCTGTCCTAGAAGATGGGCGCGTCATAGAAGATGGGCGCGTCCTAGAAAGTGGGTGTGTCCTAGAAGATGGGTGTCCTACCATTTCATGTTATATTTTTTAAAGACTTGACCTACCAAAGACTTGTCAATGACGTTTGACCTGTTGCAGCTGGTTTAGTCAGGCTGTCAAAATGTGTAAAGTAAGATCAATGACCTATATTTGTAACATTTGCTAGCCATTGATCTGGACACAACACTCTCTGTGCATAGCTACAGAAACACTGTCTGTGCATAGCTACAGAAACACTATCTGTGCATAGCTACACAAACACTATCTGTGCATAGCTACACAAACACTATCTGTGCATAGCTACACAAACACTATCTGTGCATAGCTACAGAAACACTCTCTGTGCATAGCTACACAAACACTATCTGTGCATAGCTACACAAACACTCTCTGTGCATAGCTACACAAACACTATCTGTGCATAGCTACACAAACACTCTCTGTGCATAGCTACACAAACACTCTCTGTGCATAGCTACACAAACACTCTCTGTGCATAGCTACACAAACACTCTCTGTGCATAGCTACACAAACACTCTCTGTGCATAGCTACACAAACACTCTCTGTGCATAGCTACACAAACACTCTCTGTGCATAGCTACACAAACACTCTCTGTGCATAGCTACACAAACACTATCTGTGCATAGCTACACAAACACTATCTGTGCATAGCTACACAAACACTCTCTGTGCATAGCTACACAAACACTCTCTGTGCATAGCTACACAAACACTATCTGTGCATAGCTACACAAACACTCTCTTTGCATAGCTACACAAACACTCTCTGTGCATAGCTACACAAACACTATCTGTGCATAGCTACACAAACACTCTCTGTGCATAGCTACACAAACACTCTCTGTGCATAGCTACACAAACACTCTTTGCATAGCTACACAAACACTCTCTGTGCATAGCTACACAAACACTCTGTGCATAGCTACACAAACACTCTCTGTGCATAGCTACACAAACACTCTCTGTACATAGCTACACAAACACTATCTGTGCATAGCTACACAAACACTCTCTGTGCATAGCTACACAAACACTCTCTGTGCATAGCTACACAAACACTATCTGTGCATAGCTACACAAACACTATCTGTGCATAGCTACACAAACACTATCTGTGCATAGCTACACAAACACTCTCTGTGCATAGCTACACACTCTCTGTACATAGCTACACAAACACTCTCTGTACATAGCTACACAAACACTCTCTGTACATAGCTACACAAACACTCTCTGTACATAGCTACACAAACACTCTCTGTACATAGCTACACAAACACTTAATGAAAGTTAATTGGATGTTATCAAATATTGTGATTTGGTCCTCAGGTGGGCGCTGCTCGGACCAACTAAATGGATACCGCTGTGTCTGCCCGACGGGATTCAGTGGCCCCGAATGCCAAATAAATGACGACGACTGCAAGCACAACCCTTGCCTCAACAACGGCAGATGTGTGGACCTCGTAAACGATTACAGATGTCAATGTCTGGCTGGATTTGTAGGAACTCTGTGTCAAACCAACGTGGATGATTGCGAGACCATGCCCTGCGCCAACGGTGGCAGCTGTACAGATCTCGTCAACGACTTCAAATGTGATTGTGGCCCGGGCTTCACTGGGAAGTTTTGTAGTCTACAAATTGACGAGTGCCAGGACAATCCTTGCCTCAATGGCGGCATTTGCAAAGATTTATTTGCCGATTACCAGTGCACTTGCCCCATAGGATTTTGGGGCAAAAATTGTCAGCTGTCGGAAAATCGCAACGTCAGCACGACCAGTACACAACTGCCCCGTCGAACTCTGACCAGTACTCAACTGCCCAGTCGAACTCTGACCAGTAGCACACCCCCTAGTACCACCAGTGAAACAAGGCCTTTAACTGTGGTCACTGGTGACTCGGCCAGCCATGTCGGCGTGGAGGGGGATGACGAGGGCTTGACAACACCACAGCTTCTCATCATCGTCTGCCTGGGAGGAGGACTGCCTCTCATAATCATCATCATAATCGTCGCCTACTTCCTGTGTAGGAAACGCTCGTACCTCCAGCGCCACACGCAGCAAAACCTGGAGAACTTGGCTCGGGAGAAGGAGCACAATTACATCAACAATATGAACAACAAATGCGGGGACATGTTCACCACCCTCCCCTCCTCCTCTTCCAACTCCTCCAGCATAAAGATCAGCAACGAGGAGCAGCAGGACATCAACAAGCTGAATGCCAAGCACATGATGCTCAGCTCCAGCAGTTGCTGCTCCGATGGGGACGGGGGAATGTCGACCATCATGCACATTTCTAGCAGTAAGCACGGGACCATGGACAGTAAGGAGTTACCGTCTTGTTCCAACTCGGGACGACCAACGTCGCCGCCCGGCTGCTCATCTAAAAGAGATCACTTAGATTATGAGCAGCCCTACAGAAGATTAAATGTGGATTCATTACAGGTGGACACCAGGACCTCTCCCAGGTACGCATGCTAGTTTGTTGTATGTCAACAGGGGATAATTATTGGATGTCTTGTTTGTCCCATGTACTGATTACTGTGACCATTATATTACTACTGATCAGTATGTTAACATACTCTGTTATCTCCAGCTGTAGGCAAAAGAAAAATTTTTTTAATGTAATCATTTGCGATTGTTCCAGTGTTTAGGTCTGACCTCAATTTTAAAAACATTGTGAGACTATCTTCTTCAATCGTTTACTTGCGAGGCTAAAATTGCTGTCCTATCGAGCAGAGTGAACAAAATGTTGCCTTACATTGCACATTGATTAATCTATTGGCTGACAACTGATATCTGTCAATCTGATACTGGGATGGTTTGACCAGGTGTTTCCAGCTGCTTCCCCCATCACCCTCCCTATTTCCTATCACTCTATTATCGCCTTCAACTTCCTCCATCTCAATGAAATTAATCTCCAAAATAATCCCTACCACCTCAATCCACTCTTACAGTCTCCCCCCAGCCATGCATAGATTTGTCAAAATCTGTGATATAATATTCTTTGGGCCTAGAGTAGGTTAAGTTTTATAAACACATTAGCCATGTTCAGTTATGTGATCGTTTGGCCAAAGAAATATCTCAAGACAATGTATGTGTATAAAGTTTACTCCATTATTAGACCATCTAAAAATGTTTGCATTTTTTCCTCTGCAGTGAACACCATAGTGATTACTGTTCCGGAGACATTCACATCATGGTTAAACCAACACACAAGTCAGAATATGATACTGCCGAACAAGGGGAATACCCCATCATAGCCAAAGAGCATCGGCCTAAAGACAATGCCCCGATTTATCAGGGTTATAATTCCAACATGGCCTCACCGGTTGGCCCCTCACCAGCACAGCAGCACCCATTTCATCGGCACGTGTGCTACGATGACGACTACTTAGCTACAGAGGTGTGACCTGTCACTTTCATAGTCACCTGTGGTCAGACTCATTACCTTTCACTGCCAGAGGTCTCACCAGAATGTCAATGTTGTCCCACAGAGGACTGGCCTCACCGCAGAGAGAGTAACCCGACCCTGCCTGTGTTACCTTCCGACAGCTTCTTGTCGGCGGCGGCATCTGTAGCTGTCTGTGACCAGCACAAGCCTCTGCCTTCTGACTGGACCAGTGGTCAGTGTTCTGTTGTGCTAGCTTGGACTGTAACCTGCATTAACGTGAACAGTGGTCTTCTCATCGCCATGTAGTTATTCTGCTGGGAACTTCCAACAAACTTTCAAGCGAGTTGTTGTCTAAATACTGGAAGACATTCATCAGCCTGCTTTACACTGTTATAAGAGACGTCAAAGGTAGCACCGAATCTCTTGAACTTTTGCTGCAGATTAAGCAAGTTTTGCCAGTCTCATCTAAGGGAGTGTGGCTCTTGTGTGTTGACATTCAGCAATGAACAATTCTCTACACACAAAAAACACCAAAAAATCAACAACAGTAAAAGGGTCACACTTTGACAGGCGAAGTAATTATGTACCAAAAAACATTTGAATTTGATGGGATTTTATTTTATTTTTTCCATGTAAGCAAGGTATCACCCCCGTCCAGTAAATCACCTGCATCAATGAATGTACTTAACTCCATTATCACATTTCAGATTTTTTTGTGGTTTCTTTTTTGGCTTGTAATTTTAGTCGACATAATCTCACTTGATACAAAAAATGGCAATTGGGTCTCTGCTTTGTGTGGACACATTCTCACCACTGAACCTCAATTCCAAGCAGTGCTTCTTTAACTATGTAAACATCACGTAAATATGTTGCATCATTAAAACCAAAAAAAAGGTTAAGCCATAACCCATTTTTTAAAATGCTATCTGCCATTCTACCCCCCCCCCCCAACAAACTGTCCTCTCCCCACCTACTCCCTCAAATTCCCCCCCCCCCTTTTCCCAATTGCTTTGTGATAGAGGAGACCTCATTCTATGCAATCACATTGCTATGATATTTAATATATAGTTTTTCTTCAAAGGTTGAGCCAAATTCCTACCCCCCCCCCCCCCCCCCCTTTCCGAAAGGGTTGTTAAAGTTGTGTTGTTGTTTGTTGTTGTTTTTTTTAGTGTTATTTAATAACTGTTTGAGAGCTGTCCTTTAAAATTATAATTGAGAAATAGTTTTTTCTTTGTAATTTATAGGGTCTAAGTTTATGACTTGCTGGAACAAAGGGTGGTCTTCAGTTTGTTTATATTTGACAAGGCCATGATGCCTTTCTGTTAGTGTTACTGAGAGTTGAAATGTTTGCCTTGGATCAGTTGTAGCTTCAGACTGCACTCTTCTTGTGGACTTTATGAATAGTTATTAATCAGAGCACAATGGAGTCGTGGTTTTGTTATTAAATGATCAAGCATGGCCTGTGTGCTGACAAAGTCAAGTGTAATGTCACATGATCTAGTGAGGGTGGATAGGTTGAAAGCATTGTTCAAATATGCGTCTCTATTATTTACTTAATAGTATTTACTAATTATAATAATATAGTCATTTCAATATTTTTCTGTAAATATTGTCAGTTTTAGAAGTCTTGAGATAAACAACCTAATATATTTTAATTATATTATGTATATTCATGTTTGTGATGACGGCTTTGTTTAGTAATAATATGGAAAGTTGGCCTAAATTTGAAAAGTCTCTACAGTATTCCACTCGTGCACATTGCCCAGAGTATTCCACTCGTGCACATTGCCCAGCTGGAAAAGCCTTTCTCCATGCATACACACATGACCTAGTGGAGCCGTCACAGCTGTGAATCAACTGAGTCTAAAAGTGTTTAGGAGATGCATCCCTCTAATGGCCCATCTTGTAACCTTCAGCTCCATTACAAAATAACTTTCTTTGTCAGGATGCAATGACTAGACACCCACCCTCCCTGATGTTCTCCTAAATAGCTTTTCAAAGTGGGGTCCCCACCACCTCCTCCTGCTTGCGACAAATACATGACACTTGTCTGATGAGCAGCAAATCATTGTGGAAGAATGTCATTGTGACAGCTTGTGATATCTATCTATCTAACGGCAAGCATGTCATTGTCTCTAACCATGCTGCCTTTATATTTAAAACCAATGTTATTTATTTCATCTATTTAATGACGTCAGTAGAATTAATTTTTAATTTGGTAGAGTCTCAACTCTCACACCCCCGCCCCCCCCCGGCCCCCCCCCCCCCCTTTTCCAACCACCCATTCACTTTCCTTTTGTTAAAACAGTAGTCAAACCATTGAGGGTGCTTCATCACATTTGATTACAGTTCCCAGTGACTTTTTCAATCAAATTTTTAATCTTTCCAAACATTCCATCTGTTGCTGAGCTATCTTATTGGTAGAAGAAGAACCATTTAGTTTACTTATGGGACAGAATCGTTCTGATTAACTTGTTCAACCACAAGAGACTTTTGGGTTAAACCATTATGATAATCTAATTATTATTTGGTCAAACCATTCTGATAATAAAAATCTCCTTATTGGGTTGGACCGCATTGAAAAATTAAAGAGAGGCAAAACAAATAAAATTTGTTGAACTATTTCAAAGATTGGGTCAGCATCTGATCTGGTGAGTTTCTGAAAGCTATCGGCCTGAGAAAATGAACCATGCAAAGTTCGATTCCCTGCTTGGTTTTAATTCCTTAAAAACAGAAAAAAGAACCCCAAATGGCAGCAGTAAAAACTGTTTTGTTGATTTTGTTTGATACCACTAACCAATGGTGTACAGTATGTTAATTTATGCATAAATTATTATAATTATTATTATTATTATTGTGAGATGGATGAATCAATTTCTGTCAGCATGGGCTCCCCTCTTGCTATTAGTTCGGGGCCCCCCTTGTGTGAGGTGCTGGAGTTGTTCATCTGAATGTTTATCATGTTTCAACCAGGGCCAATTTTCTTCAATGCTAGTCAAATAAGTGCTTTTTGGTGTACCACAGATGTTGCTGTTCAACTCTCACAAGCAGTTATCCTAAATGCACACCAGTCTGCTGTATTATTCTAAGAATTTTAGAGTGGGGGGAAAAGACCTTTGTGGTATACCAAGGGCATCTTTAAATGGTGTATATTTATAAATGTTTGTAGAATATTGTATAAAATAGTGGATTGTTTTACACAATGAAACATTGTCAGTTACTGTATTGAATATTGGTTAACCGATGCGGTTTGTACAGAGCCTGTCACATCTGATCTTGCTACAGTGGGACTTTGAATCTCGCATGTTTTCATAGACATTTTTTTTTTAGCTTTTTTTTAATTATTTTTTTACTGTGGATTTATTTATAAGAGCATAATTAGTTTGGTTGTTGCGTTAATGCAAAAAACACTTATCCAATGTAATTAAATGAATTATTTGAACTGATGTTAAGGATAGTTCATTGTAACATTTTCTGTTGCAGGATGTTGTGTCGAAATGATTTGTTTCACCATTCAGAGATGAACAGATTTTTTTTTTTTTTAAATGAAACATTCACATTAGAATATGTGTAAAATTGTTGGCAGTGAGTTACACTGGTGGCTTACAGCACCTTGTTCTCAGGAGAAACCATGTCAGTCAGAACGACAAACTCTTGTCACATAACACCTGTCAATCTACAAACCAAATAATATCTAGATGGAATCTATTATATTTAGCAAACAGCACATGTCAAATGACATGTCTCATATGCATCAACTGTTCTCATATGATGGCTATTGATTGGTCCTTTCTCCCCCCCCCCCCCCCCCACATGAACTCCTGAGACCAAAGTGTTTTTGTATTAGTTTAAGGAAACTTACAATAATTGTGTAAATTGTGAACAAGCTCGATCCATTTATTAATCTGTATATATCAGGTGGGGACAAACTCAAAGTTTAGGTTATTGACTGTTTAAAGTTTGAGTCTAGTTGTAGCATCATGAGCTAAGGGTTGTGCGATTAAAAGAAATGGTCCACTTACAGTATCATATCAACAGTGTTGGGTTGAGTCACCAGTGTAATATAAAAGGCCTTAGGTTAGATGTTAAAATAGAAATCTGGCCTCTAAAATGACATTGATTTGAAACAATTCTCTTTATTGTTCATGCATGTAAAAAAAATTGAAAAAAATACTTTCTATGCACTTTTGTAATGAGTGGATGATTTTGATTGGTTGCTTTAAATGAGAGTGCATGATTTTGATTGGTTGCTTACATTGTGAGTAAGTGATTTTGATTGGATGCTTAAATTGTGTGGGTATGATTTTGATTGGTCACTTACAATGAGAAGGATTCTCAAGTCTTTAAGTTTGTGTATAAAATATTCAACTGAATTCTCCTTGACCGGTTCGTTCAAGGTCAGTGCTGCAAGATGTGTACATACAAGAGTTTGATGTTGCCTTGAATTTCTGGCATTAAAATGTTGGTCATTCTTGTGGAGTCATGTTTTTGTCCCATTCTTCTACCCAAACTTAAGTTATCACTGAGTGACTTCCCCGTGAATGAAGCCACGACCAGTACCAACACCCATACACAAATATGTCAGTTCCACATAACATATGCAAGGCTCAAATAAACACATATGAATCCCGACCACACATAAACAAGCACCAACTCATTCTGATGATCACAAAAAGGCGCCACATTATGTGAGACATGCCATCACATTATGTGTCACATGCCGTCACATTATGTGTCACATGCCGTCACATTATGTGACACATGCCTTCAGTTGTTGCATCAAAAATTCTTATACCTTGAGCTGTGAATAAATCAAGTGGCCTAGTATATTCTAGAACCCACTAAGACTTGACATGACTTGTCACAGAAGTACATTTGTGGACCTGGTATAACAGAACAACACTGAAGGACAAAATAAGTGTGGTCCCTTTGTCATCTCAGCATCCATTTATTTTAAAAACTGCTTTCCTATGTTTGCACACAAGATTGCCTGTGATGTTAGGATGTAAATATTCCTGTATATTTATGGCCCAAGATGGAAATGTACAAAATGGTTCTTATTTCTTCTTTAACATTACAACAACAAAAAATGGTTGCCATGAAAACTTTGTGGTTACCATAACAACAAGATGGTTTCTGTTTGTTTACCGTAACATTAATAATTTCCTAATATTGAAGAAATTAAACAAGGTCACACTGTCCTAATTTTTGATAATTAACATTTTTTTTTATTATTCTTTTGTCTGTCATTTGTAGTTTTTTTTTAAACCTTCGTCAAAAGAACTTAAGCAGCAATTTTTTTTAACAATAATTTTAAAAAAAAAAATTATCCAAAGAAAATGGGTTTGATAAAATCTTAAAGATAGAACTGAAGCACCAGAAACTGATGAAATGTATAAGCACCAGAAACTGATGAAATGTATAAGCACCAGAAACTGATGAAATGTATAAACACCAGAAACTGATGAAATGTATGTACAAATCTTTATCTGAAAATCTTAACAACTAAGATGGATGAAATTTATTTTGAACATATTATTCAAATGCCCTAGAATGCAATGCAAATGATTCTCACCGTGTGCAGAAATATCTCAAAATACATGCACTTTATGGAAGTGATTTTGATCTGTTTCAGTCTGTTATAGGGTGTGGTCAGCTAAGACATGGTGTGGTCACGTAAAATAGGTCGTGGTCAGGTAGTACAGGGTGTGGTCTTGTATAATAAGGCGTGGTCAGGTAGTACATGGTGTGGTCACGTAAAATAGGGCGTGGTCAGGTAGTACATGGTGTGGTCACGTAAAATAGGGCATGGTCAGGTAGTACATGGTGTGTTCACGTAAAATAGGGCGTGGTCAGGTAGTACATGGTGTGGTCAAGTATAATAGGTCGTGGTCAGGTAGTACAGGGTGTAATCATGTATAATAGGACGTGGTCAGG